ACGACAGAGTCACCGCAGAGCTGGCCTCAAAGCTGGACAGCAGCGCGCTGGCGCCGGCATTGCGCCCCGGGCCACGGCGGCGGCCCTGGCCACCACGGACGGGCAGGTGGCCGCGCCGGAAGCGGCATCGCCGCGCTGCAGAGCTCGCTGACCACGGGTCTCTCCAACAAGTGCGCTGCAGTCGTTCGACGTGCTGGAGGGGCGGCCCTCTCGGCCAAGGCGGACGCCAGCGCGCTGGCCTCCCTGCTCTCCACGGTGGACGGGCTGGACACGCCACTGGAGGTAGACACCAAAATAGCAAATGCCCTGCTGGGTCTCGCCACCGAGGCCTTCGTCGCAGCGCAGCTTGCTAGCCGGGACGCCAGCATCACGGCGCTCCAGGGGGGCAAGGCCGACGCGACGCTGCTGGCCTCGTACGCCACGAACGCCGCGCTCTCAGCCAGCGAGACCACGCTCCAGAGCGCCCTTGACGCAATCCTCGCGGAGCTCGCCGCCCTGCAGCTTTCCGGCAGCGGAGTTGTTAACGCGCCGGCCTGGGCGGGCTTCACAACTTGGGAGCTCGTTCAGGGAAGCAACGTCTTTCGCAACCTGCATCTGGAGGCTCCTCTCTCTGCTGCGCTGGCCAACAGCGACGACACGCTGCGCCCCAGCAGCGGCTGCAGCGTGGTCCTGGCCACGCACACCGCGGGAGTAAGTGTGGACGGCTACACTCTGACCCTGGCGGCGAACCCGTGGAACATTGCGCGCACCTACAACTTGACCCCGGGCCGAGAGCTCCTCTTCGCCTGCCGCTACCGGCTCGGCACGGCCTCCAACTTCGTGGTGTACATGTCCGAGGCCGACAACGTCTACGACCCGTTGTACGGCAGCTTCGTGGGCGACCAGGGCGCCTGGAGCACGGCCAAGATGTACTTCACAGTGCCGCCAACGGAGTGGCGAAGCTGCACTTCGGGGCGCACTTCCAGGCGCCGGGCCTGCCCAACCAGACGGCTGGAACGGTGGACGTCTACGGCCTCCAGATCCTGGACGCAACCCTGGAGGCCGGCAACACGGCGGAGGAGGAGGACACGGCGGCCTCGGCCCTGCTGCTGAAGCACGAGTTCCTCGACGGAGGGGCCGACGACGTCACGCTGGCCACCCTGGGCGAGGTGCTGCTGGAGCCCACGCTCACCACAGTAGGAAATTTTCTGGTGCGCTACAACAGCCAGAGCTCCGTGGCCTCGGCCAGCTTCGCGGTGGGAGGCTTCCAGCTGGAGGGCTACGCCATGACCCTGAGCGCCTTCGCCTGGAACATCGTGCGCACCTACACGCTGACGCCGGGGAGACGCTACTCCTTCGGCTGCCGGTACCGGCTGGGCACGGCCTCCAACTTGGTGATGTACGTCAGCGCGGCCGACAACGACTACGTGGGCGTCACCGGCACCTTCCTCGGCACGCCCTCGCAGGGTGTCTGGAGCACGGCGCGCCTGGACTTCTCGGTGCCGCCGGGCGGAATCGCGAAGCTGCACTTCGGAGCCTTCGGCGGGTCGATCCCCGGGCTGGTGCAGCAGTCGGCGGGCACGCTGGACCTGTACAGCATGCAGATCAGGGCCAGCGCCTTCGAGGGAGAGTCTGTCTCAGTAACGGACCTGCTGGCGACTCGCTGGCCCTCACGGGCTCGGCCACGCTGGACGGGCTCACCGCGCAGGGCAACGTGGGCTGCGACCAGCTGCTGTGCAACGACGTGAACTGCACCGACGTGTTCACCACGGGCGTGGACGCCTCGGGCGCAGTCTCCTGCGCAGCGCTCACAGCCACCGGCGCCGTCGCCGGAGCCACGCTGTCGTCCACAGGGGCCGTGTCAGGCAGCTCGCTGAGCATCACCGGCGCGGCCAGCGTGGGCCTGCTGAGCACCGGAATCACGGGCAGCACACTTGACCATCAACAACACGGCCAACGCCGGGAACTTCACCACGGTGGGCGACGTGTCCACGGGGACATTGACGGCCTCGGGCGCAGCAACCGCGGCGAGCTTCGCAGCCACCGGGCGCTCACGGGCGCCACGCTGACCATCACCGGGGCGGCCTCCACGGGCCCGCTGGACTGCGAGAGCCTGGACTGCACCTTCACGGCCACGAGCGGCGGAGTGTCGACGGGCAGCGTGGTCTGCGGCGACGTGACGAGCTCGGGCACGGTCTCCGCGCCGCAGCTCTTCGCCTCCAACACGCTCACCGTGACCAACCTCCGACTTCTCGGACGATCTCTTCTTGACGAAGAACTGGGCGGGCTGGAGCAAGCTGCAAGTGTCCAACAACAGCGCGGCCCCCGACAGCGGCCCGGAGCTGCGGCTGCTGGGCAACCAGAGCGCCAGGGTCTTCCTGGAGCGGGACGGCGGGGCGCACCAGTGCGAGCTCATCATGATCAACGACGAGGCGCTGGTGCAGACCAAGAGCCTCTCCACGCAGCTGTCCCTGACCACGAACCAGAGGAACCCCGGCTGCCTCGTGATCGCAGGCAACACGGGCAACGTGGTCTGCAACACGAGCTTCACGAATTTGTCGGACAGCCGGGTGAAGACGGAGATGGCCGAGGCTGACGTGGCGGAGCTCCAGCAGCTCTTTGACTCCGTGGAGGCCAAGCAGGCTGGGCTTCGCCTCGCACAACTTCGCAGGAACGAAGTGGAAGAATTTGACGGGCACCGCCCGGTGGAGCGACGGCACGGAGATGGTTACTCTCGACTACTCTCACCTCACCAGCGTGCTGCGGGGGGTGTGCAAGGGCTTCCAGGCACGGCTGGACGAGGTGGAAGCCTGGCAGGCCCAGCAGGGGCCGAAGAACAAGTAGCTGTGTGCGCAGGCCTCCTCGTTCTAGAGGGCCCTTGCTCAAGCTCCTTTTTGGGGCAACAAAGCTGTTTTTTAAAATGGAGGCGCTGAGGGATCTGGCCGACGACTTCAACGTGAGGGACCCGCGGAAGCTGTACCGACTCGCCAGGCAGCGCGACCTCGACGTGACGCAGGCCATGGCCTTCGAGGCGCTGAAGGCCGACGTGGGCCGGCAGGTGCAGGCGCCCCGGCCGCGCGCGCTGGGCAAGTCGGCCGCCGAGGGGCCGAACGACCGGCTGCAGGCCGACCTCATCGACTTCAGCCAGAACACGCGGGGGAAGACGAAGTACGGCCTGGTGGTGATGGACGTCTTCACCCGGGAGGCTGCCGTGGAACCTCTGCAGAACAAGAACGCCGAGACGGTGGGCCGGGCCACCAAGCGCGCCGTGCGGGAGCTGACGGGGGACGACAGGAACTTTGTGGTCACGACAGACCTGGGCAACAAGTTCGCCACGCTGGACCGGGAGCTGCCCGAAGCCGTGCACCGCACGAAGCGGCCCGAGGACCGCAACGCCATTGCCGTGGTGGACCGGGGCATCCAGACGCTGAAGAAGGACCTGGCCACGAGGGTGGCGCGCAAGGGCGGGCAGTGGAGCGACCACTTCGAGCAGGCGGCCGGGGCCTACAACGCGCGGCCCCACGAGACGGTGCACGGCGCGCCCGAGGACGTGGAGAAGCCACAGAGTTCAGGGTCCTCCAAGACAACGCCGACAAGTTCCAGCACAACAAGGACCTCACCGACCGGCGCGTGAAGGCGGTGGAGGACGCGGGCGCCTTCCGAGCGCCGACGTACGGCAACGTGCAGCAGCTGGGGGCCGTGGACTCCATGACCGTCCGCAGCACGGAGGGGCGCGAGACCCTGCTGAAGCTGGCGCTGCCGGCGCCGCAGGGCAGCGGCAACGCGGCGGGCCGGCTGACGAGACGGGGCAGGCCGGCGGCTGTGAGGCAGCTGGACGACTTCCTGGGGCCTCCGAGGCCCAGGACCCTCGACTAGCCTCCTTTGCGAAAAAAAACTGGTTTTTTTAGGCACGACCCGGCCTCCCTGCGTCCAGGCAACCTCGGTCGGACCCGTTGTGGCGCAAAAAAAAAACTTTGATCACACTCAAGTTGGAATTGCCTGATCCTGATCGAGCGAAAAAACTGGGAGAAAAAAAGGTTTCGAGGCATTGCGCAGGCTGGGGGGGAATTCCCGGACCCTGCTCAGCTCCTTGTTTTGGGTTAGGGTTTGGGGTGCTCGGGAAACCAACGGGTTGGGCGAACCCGCCTATATCAATATAGACACTGGAAGAATAGCATTTTGTGGCGCAAAACCGTGCAAAACGAGCTATTAGTCCAGGGTGTATATTCATATACGGCCTGGACTAATAGCTTTTTTTCAGCGCAAAAGCGTGCAAAACGAGCTATTCTTACAGGCCGTACATACATGTACACCCTGGAAAAATAGCATTTTGTGGCGCAAAACGGCGCAAATGTCCCTTTAGGGTTTGGGGTCCTCGGCAAACCAAACGGGTTGGGCGGACCAGTATCAAACCCCAAACGTGTTTCTGAGCAGGTCCTCAGAAAAAAATCCGACACCTCTCCAACTGACCGTGATCGGGCCTCCAAGCACTTGCCCGCGCATGCCTGGGAGACTGAGCCGTGAGAAAGGGAAATGCATGGTGTATGACCGTATGATCCGTATGATCCGTATGATCCGTATGATCCGTATGACTCAGCTGAGGCTTCAATACCAGGCTTGTCAAGTCATACGGATCATACGGATCATACGGATCATACGGATCATACGGTCATACGGTCGCTTTTGGGTTTTTTGGGCCGCTTCCAACGAAAAAAACAGTGTCCAGGGCGGGTCCCTGCCTGGCACAGGCCGAGGGATCATACGCGCCGTTTGGTGCTGAAGCGCTACCGGCAACACGCAAGCTTGTAAAAAAATGCAAAAACGTTTCAAAATCAACTGGACAGGATACGGCGTACAATCGCATGGCTCTTCTTTTGCACACACGACACTGTGCCTGTGCGCACGGCCAATCGCCGTGATGAGAGATCATTGCCGTGCTGGGAGCTCGTCGGATACACGGGGCACGGGCTGTACTGCCGCGCCCACTCTTTGCACATACCCCCTGCACAGAAGTTGAGAAGCTACGCCGACACGACAAGCGTCATGATTTGGCGCGGCGACGGCCTCGCGTAGACCCGCGCGGAGGTCCTGGTCCGGGCTCCGAATCGGGGGATGAGCTCGTCCCTCACCGCAGTGGGGCTCACACACAGCTGGTCGGCAACCTCCTGGGACGTGGCGGGCCTTGTCTTGGAGAGGACGTAGGGCTGCAGGTAGCGCCGCACTAGCTCCGAGGCCTCTGGCATGCTGGATGGTTGAGCGGTCCTCTCCGTGATGTCCTGTTTCAGAGAGATGAGCTCGCGGGGATTGGGATGGTGTTGTCGCTGCTTCCCCCAGGATGCGGCGCCAGCCAGAATACCCGCGCCACCCACCAGAACTCCGCGAACATCTCAGGGATGTTCTGCTTGACGCTGTTGTCCTTCAGGAGCTCGTGGGGGCGTGTCGGGTTGTCCACAAAGTTGTGCTCGAACTATGCGTCTCCTGTCAGAGCCAAAGAACTCGGCATCGGCCTGCCACACGCCGTTGGTGCAGAGCAGCAAGAGTCCGTGGAAGCTGAAAATGTTCTCTCCCCGGCCCTTCCGCGCAGCCGTCAAGGTGTTCCCTCCGGAGATCTGCCGCAAAACAGCACTGCACAGAGGCTGATTCGGCGCGAAGTCGTCGACCCACGCGAACCTGCTGCCCTGTAGGTTTGCGAACTGTTCGCGGGGCCGCTCCTGTTTCCCGACAGTGAGGGCCTCCTGGCAAAGAACTGCGCAGTACCCGCGCTCCACCCCGCCGTTGCGCACGCCGAGCGCCTTCTCGCAGAGTTCCCTCAAGGTTCCCTTGCCCGTCGAGCCGTCTCCGTTGTCCTTGAGCGTCGCAAACTCGATCTTCTTCGCGCCACGCTCTCGAAGATGAGCCTGGCTTGAAACAGCGCCACGTTCCAGTCGCCGCCGTGCGGGTCGCGAAAGATGCTGCGCCACATTGCGTGCCCCATGGACGCCGCTTCCAGCTCCTCGACAATGTGTTCGGGGAGGACCATGACGCCATCCCGACAGTCGCCGCCCTCCGTCAAACCAGGCCATGGCCTTCAGAATGGCCCGAGCCAAGCGGAGCCTATCCGGATGCTGGTACTCCATGAACTGGCGCGGGACGGACCTTGTGTTGCAGGTCGGCCGTCACGGTCCGCGCCATCGGCAGCTCCATGGCCCTCTGGAGAGCTTTGTCGTCGTCCAAAAAGTCTTGCAGAGGAGGCGGGTGGGCGAGGAAGTCCCCACCCTTGAAGTGGATCTGGAAGTGATGGCGCTCCTGGTCCAGCGGCGGCATGCAGTCGCCGTTGTCCAGCTTGCTCAGCATCGCGCCCACCAAGGAGAGAATCGGGGCCGTATGGAAGAGCATCACGTTGTCCCTCACCTGCAGTCGCCACTTCCCGCTGACGTCCTGGCACCGTAGTGGCGATCAGTGCCCGCGCCAGCATCTCCCCCTTGCAGGCCCCGTCGCACTTGCCCGTGGACCACACGCCGTCCGTTGCGTTGTAGATCTCCATGTGGTCCTGCTGGTGGTCCCATCTCACGAACAAGCGGTGCTCGACGGAGATTGCCAAGTCCAGGTGGGGGGTCGGGCCCTTCTCCTCGTCCTTGAGCCAGTTCCGCACCGTGGCCGTTGCGTCCAGGCGCACCTTCTGACGCGCGGCGAGCGTCAGCCGGCTGTGCCTCATGCCGATGCCCTGCAAAGCCTCAAAATACTCCGAGGCTTCACGGTGAAGAAAAGTCGTCGACTCTGCAGATGCCGAACGGTCGCCTCTGCGGAGAAGCCTCCGTCGCTCGATGAGAACAGGAACGAGTCCCCCAGGTAACCGCCGAAAAAAAAGGAGCGTTGCTGCGCGGGCGCAAAAAAAGAAAATCGCACATCCCGACGAGGCGCATTCCACAGACAAGGCCGCGAGGATTGGTCGTCGCCTCGTGGCCTTCAGCTCCTTTTTCCAGCCCTGGGCATGTGACGCCAGACGTGCTCACGCACGCAGGCTCCGCAACGTTCCTATCAGGGCGCGTGAATCATACGAAATCGCACGGACAACTTTCCGCCTGCCACCATCACTCCGGGAAGCAGCCCGGCATCGACGCTTCCCTCCGGTTGCGTGGCTCATTGTCCTGGCACAAAGCATCCCCCCTCATGTATGACCGTACGTTCCGTGGCGGCGATCTCGCGGTGCTAGTCCCTCCGGCACTATCGAATTGTCTGAGCTTCAATCTGCGCCGGAAATCTCAAAACATCACCGGCGCGGTACGGCGTTGAGTGACAGCAAAAAAATGCAAAACCTTCACACCCCGACGCCGGAGCCGACCCCAACCCGCTGAACACCGCCCCGGCCCAGAGAGATTCGTATGACCGTATGACCGTATGATCCGTTTGATCCGTATGATCCGTATGCGTACGACCCGTATGCGTTTGATCCGTATGATCCGTGGATCTGCATGACTCGGCAAGCCTGGCATTGAAGCCTCAGCCCGGGTCCCGCGGAACATAACACCAAAATCCAAAATCATGTCATGCCAAAGTCAAGCAAAATCATGACATGCAAAAACCATGCAAAACCGTGCGAAACAAGCTATTCTCCCCGGCCATACGCCCCCGTGCGAGCCCGGGCGCCGCCGTCCGCGCCTCCGTGATCTGTCGTTGTCTTGCCCAACTTGCCATTCTTTTTTTGCCAGTTTTTTTTGCTCGGCCGCGCGGCTCTGCCAGATGGTGAGCTTTTTTACACGGTTTTTGTCTCCCGATTCCGATTCCCCGCCCGGGGGCCTGCGAGCCCAGTGCCTAAATCAATATAGACAGGCTAATATCGTTTTGCACGGTTTTTGTGCCGAACACGCTACGTGACGGCGCGCACCCGAACGTGCTGACACCTCAGCGGCATGCACGCGCTCGGTGGGAAAAGCCGGCATGAGCTGGGCGCTGTCGAGCCAGGCCAGCCTGCCAGGCCTCACCCTCCACAACCCGTCCGCCTGGACCTGAGTCATGCGTACGTCGGCGCCTCAAGGGTGAGGCGGCCTAGCCGAACGCAGCACGGCGCCTCCAGGGGCAAAGAGCACCCACTGCCTACCCATCAGCCAGCGCCGCCTCCAAAGCGCGCGGCCCCTCAAGCGAACTCCGCGGTGCCCTGGCTCTCAAGCCAGGTCGCAAAGCACTGCCGCCGCCATTGGTTAGCGACGCCGTCATGAGGGCCTGAGAAGCGTGCCACGCCTAGTAGTCTGGCCCGGTCAGCTAATAGCTTTTTCAGCGCACCGCTAGACGTCCAGCCGGGCCTGGAAGCCCCCAGAGACGCTGGTAAGAGAGAGTACGTAGTCGAGGGTCGCTCCACCGGCGGCCTCCGACAGCGGCCCGGAGCTGTGGCTGCTGGGCAACCAGAGCGCCAGGGTCTTCCTGGAGCGGGACGGTGGGACGCACCAGTGGAGCTCATCATGAGCAACGACGAGGTGCAGACGAGACGAAGAGCCTCTCGACGTCCTTGACCACGAACCAGAGGAAAGCTGCCTCGTGATCGCGGGCAACACGGCAACGTGGTCTGCAACACGAGCTTGCCGGACAGCAGGGTGAGGCCAGGCCACGTGGCGAGCTCCAGCTACTGGAGGCCAAGCAGTACAAGCCCGACATGAACGGGGAGCTTCGCCTGAACGACTTTGCAGGAACGAAGTGAAGAACCGAGCACCGCCGCTGTTGTTGCTCCCCGCCCATCGTCAGGAAGAGATCGTCCGAGAAGTCGGAGGTCACGGTAAGCGCAGTGGAGGCGAAGAGCTGCGGCGCGGAGACCGTGCCCGAGTCGCAGACTGGCGACACTCCGCCGCTCGTTGAAGGTGCAGTCCAGGCTCTCGCAGTCCAGCGGGCCGCTGACTGTAGCGGGCGCCCGGAGCGCACCGGTGGCTGCGAAGCTCGCCGCGGTTAGTTCCCGGCGTTGGTGTTGTTATGGTCAACGTGCTGCCCGTGATTCCTGTGGCGGAGCTTAGCCACGCTGGCCGCCGTCGCTCAGCGAGCCGGTTGCCGAGCGCTGCGCAGGAAATGGCGCCCGTTGTGAACACGTAGTCACGTTGCACAGCAGCTGGTCGCAGCCCACGTTGCCCTGCGCGAGTCCGTCCAGCGTGGCCGAGCCGTGGCCGAGGCCCTGATCATGCTGTACAGGTCAGCGTCCCGCGACTGCTGCACCGGGGCTCGCCTCCGAAGGCTCCAAAGTGCAGCTTCGCGATTCCGCCCGGCGGCACCGAGAAGAAGTCGGCGCGCCGTGCTCCAGACACCCCGCGAGGCGTGCCAAGGAAGGTGCCGGTGACGCCCGCCTAGTCGTTGTCGGCCGCGCTACATCACCAAGTTGTTGGAGGCGTGCCCAGCTTGTACCGGCAGCCGAAGGAGTCTCCCGGCTAGCGTGCAGGTGCGCACGATGTCAGGCAAAGGCTCAGGGTCATGGCATAGCCCTCCAGAAAGCCTCCCACCATGAAGTTGGCCGGACCCGGAGCTCTGGCTGTTGGAGCGCACCAGAAAATTGCCCAGCGTGGTGGGCTCCAGCAGTACCTCTCCCAGGTGGCCAGCGTGACGTGCTCCGTCGAGGAACTCGTGCTTAGCAGCAGGCAAGCCGCCGTGTCTCTCTCTTTAGAGGGAGATTCCCAAATGGCGTATATTCTACCTGAGAGGCTTCTGACACTTGTCCGTCCAGCATTTGACCTCGTCCTGCGAAGGATTCGAGTCTAAAACCTGCGTGCAGGCGTGGCAAAATAGAGACCCCTGATATGCTTGCAATTTGGCTCAGGTGCATTTCAAGCGAGCCAACCTTTGCAGGGCTAAGAAAAACAAAAAAAAAAGAAAACAAGGGGTCCAAAAAAAAGGGGTCCCCGAAAAAAAGGGAAAAGGGTTTCCTTTAAGCTTGACATCGCTTGAATGCAACCTACCAAATTGCAGCGCTATCGGGTCTCCATTTTGCAGCCTCACGCCTGCACGCAGCGTTTTAGACTTCGAATTCTTCGCAGGACGAGGTCAAATGCTGGACGGACGAGTGTCAGAAGCCTCTCAGGTAGAATATACGCCATTTGGAAATCTCTCTCTAAAGAGAGAGGTTGCCGTTCTAAGGCACTTCAACACAAGTGCCACTTGTGTTCACATTTCTGCAGGTGCGCCGCCCTGCCGCGCCTGCCCGGCATTGAAGCCGCGCCAAGCCGCTGAACCCCCACTCTCCCCCGCGTCCTTGCTATATGTGCTATATGTGCTATATCTTACACGCCAAGCCGCTGAACCCCCACTCTCCCCCGCGTCCTTGCTA